AAACTAGAAAGTAAATAAGACAAAATGTGAAAAAAACAACACAGACCAGAAAATAGTTCCCAATCAATCAAGGAATATTAATTTATATGCTAAATATAGATGTTTTAATTTCCATTTTAAAGTTCAATCCTTCTGAAAGTATATATTGAAATATTGCATTAATGACATATTTGTCTGATATTATTTATAAAATCATTAACAAAAAACACATTTTTATATTCTAACAGTAATACTAGACAGAAACATTTTTTTTGTAGCAACAGGTTTCCATAATTTATTACAACCAAGAAAAAATGACAATGATCCAATATTATTGTTACTATGAGAAATGTTTAGGTTTAACACTAGCCCTTGGAGTAATGAGTTCAAAATATTCTTGCCAACATAATCTCTTCACCTTGATGTAATTTCACTAAGAACATTGAGAAAAGAAAAAGTGAAATATTACAGAGCAAAATCCTTTGTATGAACTTTGATTGTCCAATGATATTCGACATAAATGTAATAAAATATAAGGGTCTTTTAATTTATTAGTTTAAAGCTAAAAGAATTATGTATATATATACATATATATATATATATATATATAGGAAGAATTGTTACTGCTGCAAAAGGGAAAATTATAGAAAATGCACACACAATTTATTTATGATTTTTATCTAGTCTCAAAAAATGTCTAAAATACTATTTGGTGTGCAATTTCTCAATGTCAACATATTAAAAATGATCTTATATCAAATTTCAGAGTTAATAGCTTGAATATGAAATTAAGAATATTTTCAATTTTTAAAAGATTCTCCTGTTAATGAGAAAATTTCAGATTTCATTGCTTATATATAATCTCATCAAAACTATATTCACATGTATGAATTATGAACAAAGAGTAAACAACTCCAAAATTAAGATATGCTAATTAATACAAACCAAGAACAAAAGCAAGAATCAATTGCAATTATGATTTCAGCTAAAGGAAAACCAATTTAAAAGTAAAACCTGTTCTTTCCCTTACAGGATACAAATATCTAATGTGATTTTGAATTAGAAGAAGCAGCAAAATGGAAAACAGAACTCCCATTCAAAATGAGGGGTTGACAGAGCCTGTCACCACAAGTAGATTGCAAACCCAAAACCACAATTTTCAAAGTTATATTCATAGGTTTTTTCCAGTACTTAAGGCAATAGACCAATGGCCAAAATAATGTACAGCTATCCTAAGCAGCAAATTGCTCAAAAAAAATTATTGAACCTTATCCTATCACTCATAAATGATATGGAAAAAATATTTGCATACATATCAGCTGCACTGGCTCCTTTTCATTAGGAATTTATTTTGGTAACTAAATAAACCAACAGTAAGCAATCGATCTAGGTTATAGAAGATACAAAATCAGATTGTAGTTCTGGGCAAGCTTGTATTGGAAAGCAATTTCAATAAAAAAATAAATAAATAAAATAAAATATTGCAACAATATAGAAAAATCTAACAGCAGTTTGAAAAATGATACAAGCTTTAAAGTTTCCTTTTTCCTTCATGCTAAATCTATTAGAACAGTTTATATAATCAAGCATTCTTTCTTTTGATTCTAATCAGAATGCACAAAGGAGAAAGTTTGAAGTCTACTTCTTGTCTTCAATTTCATACTCAGAATACAACAAATTATACAGTGGCATGTCCACTGGTCAGTACATACTGACTGATCAAAAACAGGAGGCAAAATGCTCTCCTGATTACTGGACACTGTGCTAACATAAGATTTTCATTTTTAGCAACCTGTAATGATGTCTGCTTTGTGTGTCTAATGAAGCCCTGACTGGCAGTAACAAATGAAGGTAAGCAAAGACAAGATAGAAAAGGAGAGAGGGAAGTGAGAGAGAGAAAACAACTGATGCTACTACCATGCACACAACACACATACCTCAAGAGAGAATTTCAGTAAATGCCAAAAGAAAACAAAGAAGTAAAAGATATAAATGTTCAGGTAGAGAAACAATATTGTAGTTTAAATTCAATTGTGTAGTCCTTTATATTTAGAATATTGTAGATTTTACTAACACACAAATGAACTACTCACAATAGGTACAAGATGTAAAAGTTTTATTCAATTATTAATAGCTATAATCAAATCAAGAATTAGCTTGGTTATCATACTGACACTATTATGTAGACATCAAAGTGGATTTTGTTAGCAAGTGTAGATTCAAGACAAAAATTAAAATAAGAAAATAAAAGGAGAACTCTGATATTGGCAGTATTAAAAGATGTTCCAGCTGCCTAAATTCCCAGTCAACATACTAAAGAAGAGACATAAAATTAATCTATACCAAAAGAAATGTATACCAAAGATTTTACAACCAATGGTTCTGCTATAAACCCAAGTAAAGGAATACTTTCAAGTTATAAAAAATGGTTAGAATTTGGGCATGTTATAATGTATTAGTACTTGAATTACTTTCAAGTGCAAGAATCATTTTGGGAGAAGTAAAAATCAATTTTGTATTTGCTAAAGGTAGGCTTGCCATATTTCCTGATTTGGTTATAACTGTCTTTGTTTGGGGGCTCTGTCCCAGTGTTCTGCAAGAGATATAAGCTATCAGTATTGGTTTCTTGTATCAGTCCTGACGTTTAAGAGCTGTTGAATCATAGAAACATTATACAAGAATCTAAGCATATAATAAAGATTAAAAACTGTCTCAGATTGAGACATGTAAAGACTATTCAAAGAAAATATGTTAGTTGCCATTCATAACAGTCCTATGAGATGTTATTATTTTGCTGGCTTTACAGGATTGATTCCTTGGGAAATGTATATCTGTTTTGGTTTGAAATTGGTCTTTTCTCTCTGGCATATTATCTCCAAGCCTACCTCAAAGATAGAACCATTAGCTTCATAGCCTGTAACCTGATACTTTAATCTCTGATCTACATCTTCCAGTGATATTATTCATCTTTTATCTTAATTTTTAATTGTCAGCTGTAGAGAGATTAGGAATAAACATACAAATATGCATGCATCTATTCTTAATGTCAATATTTGACATAGACTTTCTTGGAATCATTGTGTAGCTGTTCAAAGTAAAAAAGATAAGTCGTCACAACAGAAGTTTTTTATATATATATATATATATATATATATATATATATATATATATATATATATATATAAACCTAGCCAACTTAAAAGTTTAGAGGTTAAATGCAAAATAAAGTGTATAAGAAATATTTTTGGGCATTCAGAGTTCTGAAATCATACAATCTATAGGTCAAGTGATACATATAAATACAAATAAAAGTAGCTTTTTCAACAGAGTAACCTAGGAAAAATTAGCATATCTTTTTCTGATGGATATGTTAATTCTCAAGGTTTTGTAAAAACAAAAAAAAAATCACCTTTTTATTTACCTAAGCAATACACAACACCAATGAGATTATTTTCTCAATATTCACATTAGTATATTTTTTACTCTAGAAACTTCACTGACTCCAATGTTGCTTTAAGTATTCCCAATTTCACAAGAAAGCTGTGTGGTTATTTTACCACTTGCTATTGGGAGTAAAATAGAGGTAGCAATGTGTTCTAGCTCAGGAATGCAGAATATTTCTGCTTTATTTATATGCAGCAAACACCATACCCATCATACCCAGGCCAGGGGGTTTGCATAATTTATTCCTAAATCTAAGGAAAATACATAGAATCCAAAAGTCTATTATGAATCATTGTGGAAAAAAAAATTCTCTGTATGCACTCTAAACTCATATCAATATAGCTAAAAGGTCTTTAAAGTGACTTTTCTGCATTGGTTGTACAATGTTTATTTTGCTTTTCTGATTATATATTTTTAATTTTGTTTGAAAATATTAACATGCTATAATGAGAAAAGAGGGAAACAAAATAATTTAAATCCAATTACTGAGGAAATATCAGCTTAGAATTACCTAACAATGATTTTTTATTTAGCACTAATTTTAATGTCAAAATTCTCAACATGATTAAAAAATAAAATAAATAGTAGTGAAAATGATTCTCTTTATTTTCTTCATAAAATTCAATAAGTTCTACCGAAAATATTCTGAAAGCTTAAAGAATTTAAGATAATTATGTCGAAGATCTCTTATGACATTAAGCTGGATCAGATTCAAATTTGAGCATGTCAAAAGTTAGGCTGTTAATATTGTGGCAAACCTTTTTGCACCATTATATATAGCACATCAATGGCATTCATAGTAAATTTTTGTCGGAGTCTCAATTTTTCAAATAATGCTAGAAAGTCAAACTGGATTCAGAGTATTCATTAATGAAAAAGAATAAACATTGATGGTAGCAATACAATATTCAGGTATATAGAAGGAAAATGGAAATCTGTTATTACTAACTATAACTACACATCAAAATATCACATCATATATTTATCAAACTTATCAGTTTTCAACTGAATTCAACTTTGCTCTTTATTTTATTTCTATGTAAGAATATTAGAAGAAGAGTATGTCGTAACAGACACATCATGAGACATATGTATCAAACTAATATCAATCCAGGGTTGTTGATTATTTTTTTTTTTTTCCCATAAGACAAGCAAGTGAGGATAATTGTGGGTTGCCAAATTAATAATATTTGTCTACATGATCTGACTTTTTCCCAGTTTAGTCAATAAAAGTATACATTTAATTTTGGATTTTATTTTTTTTAAGGTACCGGTTGTATATCAGTCTGTCCGTAAGTCAGCCTGTAATTAATTTTGCAATCTTTTTTTTAGGAATGATTTTATTTTTACAGTTTCTTTATGCTTGATAGCATTTGTATCATCTCTCTACACATTGTTTTGTTTCTTATTTTTACATTTTTCAGGTTCTCTATTCTAAAAGTAAAGTTGGTTTAATATTTGCTAAATATACAAAAACCATAATACAGGAGCAGAAAACATTTTAATTACAAATCATACCAAAATTCATACAAATAGAAAATATCCTATTAGCTGCTGGTCTTGGCTGTGGATCATTAATGTCATCAGCTGGGGCAAGGCTTGGAGCCACTGGTGGAGTTGTTATTTTCACAAATATGGTGAGCATTGTCTGAATTGTTATTTCTTTTATTTCTTATAAATTTCACAAAATGGACAAACACATTGTTTACCATCCATTCAATCCTTGCAAATCATTCAATGTTTGGGTCCATTCTTTCAAAATGTACAAGGAGTTTATTCAGTAGAGATAAACCTTCTGATAATCCCTTAGTGGTAAATTTTCTTTCTGGCTTCTCCTCTTCCTCTAAATCTCTTTTTCTACCACTCATTCTTCTTCCAATATGATTAACTCTTCATTTGTAAGTTCTCCAGATTCTAGGTCTAAACATTCTGCATCATTCCAAAGAACATTTTCACTTCTGTTTCAACCACATTAAAAATTTGTTGTTAAACAGCCTTCATCTGTAATTACTTCATTCAGGCTGACAACAAACTTACAAGCCACTTGCTCATCTGCACTCATTGCTTCTCCATTCACTTGAACATTATGAATTTGGAACCTTTTCTTGAATTTCTTGACTTAGACAGTACTTGCTCCAAATTCATGACTGTATTCTTTTCCAGCACACTCTTTTAAAGTTCTCACCATTTTTTTTGCACAGTAAAAAGGCTCAACAGAACCATTTTTGGTTTTGCTCTTCCATCCACATATGCAGCAATTTCTCCATTTCATTATAACTGTCAATTGCATAGGTGCAGAATCTTTCAGTTTTACAAATTCTGATCATGTGCAATCACCTTCACTTTCCTTCTTCATACTGTTTAATCAACCATCATTTTTGGGTGGAGATTAATAGCCTTTCTTTCCTTCTTGACAGGTTGAGAAGTAGACAAAGACTGTTTCCTCTTGGTAGCCATTTTTTTTTGGGTGGGGTGAAAAAAAATTTCAAAGATTCTGGGGGAAAGTATGTTGTATAGCAAAGTTGCCCTAACACTGAGCTTGAGGCACACAAGGGAATGTTAGTGTTACTGGGAGCTGGGGAAGAAATTGTTGTACACCAAGCTGAGAAACGCCCACAAAGCCAGATGCAAAGCAGTCATGGCCAGATATACCAAAGTAAAGTCAAACAGTCATTAAGTCACATAGGTTGTAAGTATTGGGTACATCAACATTCAACTTAGGGTCTTCTTTCTTTGTTTTTTTAGATAAGTTCATACAACTATTTTATTCTTACAGCATTTTAAAATAGCAGATTGACAAGGTGATCAGCTATGTATAACTGATCTATGCATAATCATGTCATTTTTTATGGATACTATGCTAGCAATACTGTCAACCAGTGCTGTTTTTAAAAAACCAGATATGAATTTTTCAATTTGTATCAGTGTTTTTTTTAAAATTTTAATGAAATCTGTTTTTTCCAGACATTACAGTTTCTCATTTTCATTACTTAAATCTTTTAGGTGCTACATGTCAGAAACTAGAAATCTGCCCAACAGGAAGAAAACCACATGGAAAAATACTTGTAAAAACAATTTCTCTATCTTATAGTTTCTAGGACAATTCTATAAGTTTGTTTTAAAACAAACACATTTGGCACAACTTCCAATCTGAACAACCTTGGCAAAATTGTGCCAAAAGTTCAAAATAAAAACTTATAAAATTTCCACAGGAACTATATGATAGAAAAATTGTTCTGATGTCTAATTTCTTCACACAGAAGATTTGTAGTAGGCATTTTTTCAGTGCTGCACCTTTCCAGCTGCCAGATTTCTAGATGCTACTAAATGTCAATTTAAATTTTTTAAAAAAATGTTGTTTTTTTAACTTGTTTTTAGAAAGAGGAAAATCCAAATTTCTGTAAAAATACAAAATAATATGAAATGTCCATTAATTACAGTAAGTTGGAAAAAACACTTTTTTTTTTGTAAATATGGTGTCAAAGACTTAATAAGTCCTGTAAGTTGGCGCCTTCAATATTTTCAAAAGTAATTTAAAAAAATAGATTATAAGAAATAAATAATATTTTACCTAAGCCATTAGCTCTATCATTTTTACTGGGCATTATTTGGATGCAGATACCTTCTAAACTTTTGGTGAAAAAAAAAAAACAATACTTTGGGTGGGATGTTCAAAACTTGTATTATAATCATTTTTCTTTAAAATTTTTATCCCATTCATAAGAATTAATTAAGAATTAATTTAAAAATTATTAATTTCCTATATTTATAACCAGATATATCTGTATTTAAAAAGGTATTTACAATAACTTGGCTGTCATGTTGGTAGTGTGGTAAAAGATAATGCATCTAATGCCATCAGGATAAGAAAACTATTAGAAGATAAAGCATCAAAATTTGTTTCCATTCAAAAGAATGAATGTAGACACTGCTTGTGTTGAAGAATTAAGAAATGTTTAAGCATAATAAGTAAGACTTGGTTACTTGAAAGGTTCAAATTTTATTGCTTGATGGTCAAGCAATAATTTAATTCAATGTCTTTCCTTATTTCATGAAATTACATGAAAACAAAAAAAAATGTGATTTTTTTTCTAAATCTTTTGCTTTATTTCAATATTTTAAAAAATTGTGACTTAAATCAGTAACTTTTTTTAAAGAAATTATTTGATCTGAATTGAACAACCCTTATAAAATCTATTAGTATACATTACAAAATACAAAAATACTTATGAAGTCTTGAGGTTTAAATGATTAGAGCTATGTCAGGATCAATTTCAATAGCAAAATACAATATATAAAATTCATATATGGTTCAGTTTCCAATGTTACAGATGTTATAAAAGGATAGCTATTAGGATTAGGTGGGAAAAAATAAAAAATTGGTGCTGTTATGAACCATCTATCACTATATTTCCAAGGACATTATTCTCCCTCTATTACAAAAGTGTAAGAAGTAGTAATCTGGATATTTTTTATGCAAAAAGAATTGTTTTCAGATTTCTTTGTTAATCCCAATGTGGCTGAACTCAAGAGGAGAAAACATCATATTTTTACAGGTTTATCTTTTCACTTGTCCATACTTTCTCCACATGCAAAAAAAAAAAAAAAAAAGAAAAAAAAAAGAAATTCAAGCCGAGAAAAATAGTATTGCTGAGTTTGGGCCAAATTTGTGATTAAAAAGCTAGAAAATTACAAAGTAATGTCTGTTATTTTATTTGCTTTTACCATAAGCTTAAAGTAGTAAATAAGAGACATTTCTTTTATACATCAAAACAATGCCCAAGCTCAAAGGGTTGTACTGATTATACTAGTTAAATAAAAATTCTATGGATAGACTCCAATTTTAAAACATTGGAAAAAGAGGATATATACATTAACTAAAGAGTCATCCTGTACTAAAAGATTTCCATTTATAGGTAAAATGTCTACATATGTTCCGACTTCTAAATGTTTAATTTTAGCTATATTCCTGAATTGATCTCAGCAATTATAGCATTTGAAAAACTTCTTAGGGTCTAGATAACTGTTCCTATACTGAAATTCAAGTTTATTAGGTTGATGCAAAATTCCCTTGCACTATCTTTTTATATAATTTTAAAGAAATCTTAGAAGCGTTTCTGATGCTGGCTCAGCTCCTTATCGTTTGTGCAATCAAATCAATCATTTGTAGTGCACCTTTTAGAAGCCTTAGGAAAAATTCAGAAATGAGAAATCCAAGTTCCCTATGACCTGATAGAAACAAACATTAGTCATTTTCTTTTCTTGTTCAACAAAGAATAAAATCCAAGTTTTCATAAGATACTAGTTATGAAAAATGGATTTTTGAAAATTCAAAGCAAAGAAAAAAGCAAATCTTCTGAACAGAATGTCCTCAGTATATGCTATTCTCTGTGTTTGATAAAATTGAAAGGGAATTCTTTTGAAAATTGGCTTGTTTAAATGATACATTGGAATAGAAGAGACCTTTTATTTTCTGGGCAAGGAAATCAACAACACTACTGCATGACAGAGCCAATTCTCCTATGCAAGCATGATGCAGCAAACAATCATGAAGTTGGGACAGGAAGTTCTTAATGCAACATATTCAACAGACCTCTCCCTTTCAGGCTATCATTTGTTTGGTCATGTCCTGTCAGCAGTTCCAGTAGGTTAAAAATATAAAATCTCCTACAAAAATACAACACATCAAAACTAGAATTGCTTTTTTAAGATGGAATACACTATTTACTTGAAAAATAGAATAGGCATATATACCAAAGAAAATACTTTGATTCATATAAATAAAAAATTTTGTCATAATATACTGAAAACTTTTGTATCCATTTAATAGATCTAGGACAAGGATATTTGCAAAATGAACTATGGCATATTCCTTACTTATGAGGCTTACATTCTGCCTCTGCCCTAAGTTGCATTGTTTCATTTATTGTCTGCCAAATTTTTATTGGTGAGGGTAATCACCATTTCCAGTGGCAATCCTTCATTTGCAAGTTAAAAGGACAAGTGGATTATTGGCATGAAAAAATATGCATTGAATAGGCTCAACCATAAAAGTACAGGAGTAAGGAGGGGAGAGAGAAGGGTGTCAGATGAGGCCATCGAAATGACAAAAATAAAAATAATCTTCTCACATCAAAGGAAAGGAAAAAGTTTTAATTAAACCATAAAAACACAGAGTAGCTTATTCATGCAGAAGATATTTAAGTCTGGACAGAAAATTTATTTTTTATTTCACTTTTATATTAATGCTATTTTCAGACACAAACAGCCAACCATAAGTTTTGAATTAATCCTTTGCAAAAATCAGATTTATGCTTCACATAACTAAATTTTACGACATTGGACATTAAATTTTTCCCTCTTCCTCTATCATCATTATTACTGGCAAAATAAAAGGAGTTGGTATTTGAATATCATTGAATATTAAAATCAAGTAAAATAGAGAAAGGAAAAATAAGGAGTTGAAAATTAACAGCAGGTCACAATAAAAACAAAGAACTGAATATTTTTCTTAAACATTTGCAGAAATGCCGCTCTCTAAACAACATTATGTCAAGCAATACAAACTCTATAAGGTGTGTGTGTGTGTGCATGTGTTTGCTCAATATGCTTGCACTGATTTCAATTAATCAATGTC